ATTTGTTCCCAACCTCAGGCAATCGACTAGTCAAACCGTAACAACAATATTCGATCCGGAATTTTTACTCTTAGTGATGTGTAAAAATAACCGCAGCTTCTTTCACAAATACAAATTAGGAGTAGTTTGTATTTAGAAAAATGCAGAATTGAACGGGCTACAAAATAAGCTATAGTACATTGTTTCAAATATTACGTTCAACAGACTTATTGGCAAAATACCGACCGGATACAGTAGGTTGAACCTGTAGCAGGACAGCGAATGAGGTACAGTGGGAGACCCGGAATGACTTTCGTATAAGAAAACGCAGGAAATAACAAGCTTTGAACTGAAATCCATTAGATTCTTGTAAACGTATGTCTTCATACATTTTTACACTAAATACTATACAACTATGATGCTTAAAGTACGTGGCAAAAGTTTGAACTTTTTCTTTTTCTGACTTTTTTCGTGAACCACGACAGCTAAAAGAATACTAAAGAATGCTTTGAGCAGCTGAATTAATTTTCGATCCGATGAGGCGTATACAAAAATTTTCTCAGAATGCTTAGAAATCAGGATAAGGGAAAATCCAAAGCCATACTTTCAGGTATTCTAGCTTCTATCTGTAGTTTTGTGTTAATGGTTTGCTAAGCAGAGTAAACCTTTCTGAGAAGAACAAGAGAAGAATATGTTACTTTGATTTTTTTAAGTGTGCGTTATCACCGGGAAAAATTCCAGATACTGAGAGGGACCCTCTGTCGAAAGTCCACTAACTTTTTTTAATAATGGTGTAACTCTTTTCCAAATGGATTTGGAGCTTCATAAAGGTGTTTTTCTTAATCAGTGTCTAAAATTGCATCTAGAAAAGTATATTTGAAGGTTCCAGATGAAACAATAACTTCTGGGCACGTCGCTTTTTATCTTCACCTTTTGTCTGACGGTACTCATCTTGAAGGCTGTACAGTCTTTTGGTTAAGAGGTGGAGACAAGTTTTATAAGCCATGCGCTTCGCCGTTTAGAACAAAACTATGAAGCACTTTTTTTAAAATTTGTTTCGCTCTTGAGAAAGTACATTTTTTCTGAATCAGAAACGAAAAAATCGGAATTTTGTCCTAATTCTCTATTTTCTCCATCAGAACTCACTTTTTATGCAATAAAAATATCATATTCGGAGTCAGCGTCGAAAACTGAGTTGAATGATATGAATTTCGAAACTTTTCGTTTATTTTCATTTTTTGGTGAAAATCTGAGAAATTTTTCGACGCAAAAATTCGAGAAAAACAAAAGTAGTTAAGTAAGATTAAACAGTACATTATACTTTTTCTTTTTTTCAGTTCATCCTGATCTTTTTGAATTATCGTTAATGCTGCTGCTCGAAACAAGTCGAAACCTAATGCAACGATTGCAGCCACAACCATAACATCGGTACACTTATTGAGTTACGGAGACAAATTACTTGAGAAGGCATCATGAGATCAATCGCTACTGCCAGTCTCCATAGACACTTTTTGCAGCGTCAGACATTCTCCTATCGTGAACGAATAAACCCTGAATCACAACAGTTAGTTTAGCTGGATGCAAATATTCATACCAATGAAGATGACAGTGTAGTTACACTTGAAAGTTTGCGTAAAATTGCTTACTATACAAAATTGTTTGATATTGTTAAAGAACGCCAACAATACATTGAACAAAGTAAAGATACTACGACATTTTTGGTGACGTCGGGTCACTTACGTGAAATAACAATACCGCAAAGTGATCAACTTAAAAATGTGGCTGCACTGTCAAAACAAAGAGCATTATCAACTATGGGCTTCGAAATATTCAAGAGTGAGTTCGGCTTTTGACTTGTTAAACGATTCTTTAAATGTTGTCTAATCATACCCATCGAGGGTAACGTACAAAATTTACTGCATGACCAGATGATTTTGAAAGTTCTTGGTTCCAATATAAAATTGAACTCCTGTTCTTAGAAACCATGTATAATTTTAAAAGTCGTTAGTCTTTTTTTAATTCTGACTCTTGAAACGGTAAACTTGAAAAGTCCGACAGTTAAACGGTACGCACAAAAAAACGTAAAATAGTACTGTGGTTTTGACAAATAGTTAGAAGTTATTTCGGTTGGAAAACCCTATTACCATCGTAAGTATAACGGAAACATTGACATTTTTTACACTAACGAGGGAACCTTTCGAGGTGATTAAACGCTTTTTGCTCGAAATCTAGTGGACTATAGGGTATCGACCATGCTAAGTCCATATATGACTATGGGGGTTGCCCTTAGCCCTTCGAATAACTGGTTTTCTAGAAAACCAATCTTTCAGTAACTCTAAAATATACTCAGAACCTTTCTTAATGAGGCATGATTGTAGCCCGCAAATTTCTGATTAAAATGAGACATCTCCCAGCTTTACACGACCTTTCTTTGCAAAGTTATAGAATTTACAAGAAAAGTCGTAAATTACTTTCTTCTTATTTCTGTTGCTTTGAGCTGATAATGAACACCTGGGGCTTCTGAAAGGTTCTGGTTACATTTTAGAGTTTCTGAAAAACTGGCTTTTTAGAAAACTGGATCTTTAAAGGGCTAAGAGCAACTCCATGGTTCATATATGGAATTAGCATGGTCGGTAACCTATAGCTTACTAGAAAAAAAAAGCGTTTAATGACCTCGAAAGATTTCCTCGTAAGTTTTTTTCAACAGCTACAAAAGCCATTACAGAGCTGAAACGTATTTTATAACGTTCAGTTTTAAAGTGGAAGGTTTTCGAGGTTATACCATGCTGTAAGTTAGCAACAGATTGTAATGATAATTAGTTAATATTTGCATTCTTTACGTTTATAGTGTTACGGTTGCACCCACGACATCTAACGAGTCATAACAGTTAAAGCAATACCCTTGTCGAGGCTAGGTAAAACAGTGAGTGGAAAATGCATGTGGATTAATGGCTACGAGCATGTGTAAGACGAAGCGTGTACATCATTGCTCTAGCACCACCCTTGTCTCAGTCAACAGTGATTCATTATTGACGCCTAGCAAGACTGACTCAGTCAACAAACACATATTCGAGAGCGTGTTATCAAGCACGTTCGTACGTTCTGTGTAATTTCTGTAGCAGCATTAATAAAAGAATAATCACACCTTTCTTTTCGACTATACTTTTATTCGTGTCGCGGATGATGACGTGTTTCGACTATTTGAACATCGATTTCCTACTTGAAATATTCGACTATCTATCATTTGCCAATTTACTGCAAGTCTTTTTCGGCCTTCAACAACGTCTTGACAATGCCATTTACGAATATCCGGCATGTATCGATCTGTCGACGGTAGTCAGCTGTGATGTTCTCCATCATCATTCATTTCGGTGTCGATCACTCAAAGTCACTAGTGACAACCGACATCACCTTCAAATAGCCCTTTCACATTTGACCTTTGCAGGACTTCAGACCGTTACGCTCAAGAACATCACTGGTACAACAATGCGGTGTTTTCTCGAGCAACTACCAATGTATCAACTTGAATCGATTATAATCACAAGGCATAAGCGATGGCATGATCCGGTTGATATACACCAGGAGCTCTGGTTGATGATCCTGTCGGCTGGTCGTGATCAACTTCGCTATTTACATCTACCAAATGAAATATGGAAATGGGACTTCAGACAACTCTCGTTTGATTTGTCCGCTCTTGAACCTCTCACATTCGATTACATATTAATCGATCAAATGCTAGTGTGCATGTGTCATACACACAACCTTCGTCGTTTCAAAGCTCGTGTTCATAGCCGGACTGAAGAGTTTTGTGTGCCTGATATTATCCTTTCGAAACTTAGCCATCTTAACGTGAACATTGACAGCAGGTAATCATTCGAAGCAACGCAACAGCTGTTGTCCGTATATCCCCATTTGACGAATTTGATCCTTCAATTGGAACAACAGCAGGGAAATACGAGAATGCTTGAGCCCACAGCATGGCAAACACTGATCGAACACAATTTGCTTCATCTTGTCGGCCTACGACTTCGTTTAAATATACATCTAACAAATGATCAAGAGTTCAGTCACAATTTTCAAGGCCTGTTCGACTGTGCCGAATATTGGCATCGACGACGGCTTCACTTTGAAGTAGAAGTAAAAACACATGTCTGGATAGACTGATAGTGGCGATAGATACTCAAGCCCTAGAACTGTCTGATATCTCTAGAAGAGAGAAATATCAAATGTAAACGAGCAAACTAAAGTTAAAGCAAAGCGAACACAACTCAAAACAATAGCACATTCCACTGACTTTGTGTAACTCTTAAAAGTTACACATACTCACAGCCGACAAGGAAGAAGGAGAAAATTTCAGAGTGAGCAAGGAACAAACGAGTTGTTTATTTTGTGCATGCTATCCCACCATTATTCGCAAGCCTGTGTGCCTTTATGCTACATGAAAAACTTACAAAAAGAAGACTAATTAATCTGCATTTCATACTGAAGTAAATCTTACTCAATTTTGTTCTTCATATTGTGTCAGAAGAGTTAGTCAGTGATGTCTCTAGAGTCAAGATGATTCAGTTATTCTATTTTCTTTCTCATCAACAGTTGATAAAAAAGATTTGATCATATTAATTCGATGCTGAGTTTAGACACCCAAAACGATCCATCGACTTCGTCGGTCGGAATTGATCGGAAATCGCTGTTTCAGATCAGATCTTACGAAGGGTAATGAACCTAGATAGCTGTAGCGCTCTGCGGAAGAAGAAAGCATAGAGTAAATATTGAATTTATGTCGATAGGTGCATTTATGCATGAATCAAGTTTTCTCCAAATATAGTTTTACAAGTTTCTAGCCAAAAAAGCAGATAGTTAACTTGTTACTGCGGAGTTTCAATGTATTATCAGTCATATAATAATGATCATCATAATTATTGTATCCATTAACGATCATTAATATTGTTCTTTCAACGTCTAATGTATAGAAACACGTTGAAGTAAGAATAATGATTGAACGTATGTACTCATACTTGCGCCTATGATGAACAATCTGTCAGCCATTGTTCAAAGTCCGAACTATCCATTTTCGTCGTTGCTCGGCTCCAACGTTCTATTGCCCATGACCAGAAATCAAACTCTATCACTGAGAATTTTGCCTGAATAGCTGCCCAAAGCGTCCAGCCAACATCAGACATAATCATATTCAGTTTCATACGTGCAAGCTTGTCCATGAGACAAGGCTTACCAAAATAGGCTTCGCACATCTCTATTATGCGTGACTCATCGTATTGTTGCTCTTGGCAGGTGTTGCCTAAATCAAATGTTGGGTCATTGTTACCGCTGTACTCAAAATCAATCAGACGTAGAATACTGCCATCGTCAATATAATTCTCGGCTAATAGATCGTTGTGACATGGCACAGTTTGCAACGGATGACGTTGCATTGATGCCTCGATACGCTCCACTAGCTGCAAATATTTGTGATATCCAATAGGAATATTGACTTGATGTTTATCGACAATTTTTAGGTAGTATTCAATGAGTCGGAACATGTTGAAATCATTTTTAAAGCGCGACGTTTTATTATGTAAAGTTTTAAGTGATTGAGCGATGCGCGTCGGCATAGTCGGTGCTTGTAGATCGGAAATGGTCATAGTTTGTCCGTGAATATAATCAAGTATCATGATTTTAGATGTTGGTAGGTAATACGCAATTGTTGGTCCCACCCCAGAGTCACCTGTCGCTCTTGTGTTGTGATATTCATTTATCTTATCAATTGCCAGCAGTTCAGTGGATGTGCCTGGAATACGGACAACATAGAGCCTGCCATCTACTTCGACTCGATAGTTTTTGTTCGTCAGTCCACCACTTAAAGGTTGAACTGTAACTGACTTTTCTTTCCAATCGGTGATTTGTTCAACAACTTGTTCAATCGTAAGGGTCATACTCGTCGAAGTTCTACTAAATACAAAAAATTTTGTTCACATGATATACTACCGAACGCCTCTGTAGCTGCAAGCGTTCACCAATTAGAAAATTCCTAAACACATTTTGTTGATAGTGAAGGCAAGATATAATTATGAAACTTCTTAGGTTTAATTCCTTAACAAAAGTGACGAAAAGTTACTATGGTTTGCTTATTCCTGGTGTCCATCTTTTCTCTATGATTACAACAAATGTGTAACTTATGAATGCGTACAAAAAATCAGCGCTGTCGGTTAGTTTTTTAATAACTCTTTAACGAAAAAGATAGATGTATAATGTAGATCGACGATTTCTTTACATCAATGGTGGTCAGTATTTTCTATTACCTTAGTGCGAATATAACGTTCTTTTTTTCGAATGCTTTTCTAAAACTTGTTTTTTTCTGTATTCCCGAAAATATTTTGTTTTACATACAAATACAGGCAACTATAGAACAGAAATTACATTTTTTTGCAGTCTTTTTATACGTAGATAAGAAAGAAAAATGAAATGTCAATATTTTTTTAACTTGTTTGGACATGTGGGAAAACATATTTTTTGTCTTTATTTTAATGTAGGTTTGTAATCCTTAGAATTAAATTCTTCTTTTTTGAAATAAAATCAGAGTAAATTCTAAATGAAGACCTACTGAAAAAAGGTTGAAATGAACGGTATACTGAACACAGAGTATAAATGATCTGTCGACTACATATAGTGTTTATGACACTTTTTCCACTACTCTGTTTGTAGAGCTGCATCGTGAATTATTAAAATTTTTCTATTTCAGTCAGGGTTGGTTATTGAGGAGGGGCAACCCTCTCCCAATAATCAAAATCTTTTCTTTTTTCACAAAATTCACAATTTACTACACTGTCACACAAAAAACACTTTCATTACGCGATCACAACCGAAAATTGATCGCCTCGTCCTCAATCTTAGAAGCCTCGCATCAACCCTGAAGTCAGTTCATCAAACAGAAAAGAGAAAACAAATGATATAAACACTACACATAGTCCAGCTTTTTCCTGTTTGACATAAACAACTGACTCGCATGAAAAGAAAACGGGTTAAATGTCAAGATACGCTATTGAGGGATCCTGCGATAGAATGACTTTGTGAAGAAAATAGCGGATTAACTAATCCGAAACATGAACAAGATCAAACATACTAAAGCTGGGTGTATATCATTTTTTTCTTTCACAATATATAGGTTACAGACAATCACTCCTCAAAACCACGCAAGGTCATGTCGATAGGTGCATTTATGCATGAATCAAGTTTTCTCCAAATATAGTTTTACAAGTTTCTAGCCAAAAAAGCAGATAGTTAACTTGTTACTGCGGAGTTTCAATGTATTATCAGTCATATAATAATGATCATCATAATTATTGTATCCATTAACGATCATTAATATTGTTCTTTCAACGTCTAATGTATAGAAACACGTTGAAGTAAGAATAATGATTGAACGTANGAAAATAGCGGATTAACTAATCCGAAACATGAACAAGATCAAACATACTAAAGCTGGGTGTATATCATTTTTTTCTTTCACAATATATAGGTTACAGACAATCACTCCTCAAAACCACGCAAGGTCAAGACCTTCGTCTCAAATAATACCAGAATGATGTGATGATTTACGAAAAATAATATTGCCTTTAATTATTCATTTTTATCGTAAAAAGAGTCAAATCAAGGTATAAAAGCTTATGCAAGATTGATTTTGATATTTTAAACTCGAAATAACTATTACTCATACAGAAATTCTGACAATGAACTTATATTTTCTATGGTTAAGGACGACAATTACTATCCATTTCAAAATAGAACGCGAGTGATTACGAGCCGAATAACTCGACAGCAAAAGGTGATAGCGATCTGCGCTTTTTAGTTTTAGAAACTGGACACCGGGGCGCGTCGATCTATGAAAAGTCACGACTTTCGATAAAGTTTACCATGATGTACCATTCGAAACAAAATCCAAAAGCTTATCGTTCCCAAATTACACCATGAAATTCAATCTCAAATAACACCAGTCGGTAACCAGAATATCACTCCTCAAAAGCACGCAAGGTTCAGACCTTCGTCTCCTTCGGTTCCGGAGGTACAGACGTTTTTTGAGGGCATATCTGCCTGGTTCTGGATACGTCTGGAAATCTCAAAAACATGTGGACCATAGATAATCGATCACGCTGATCATCGTGGCGATATTTGCTTCATTCTCCACTCACCACAACCTCAGCAAAGCCATATTGGTGAAAATCCGGTTTTTCGCTTTCGTTACCATCAAAGATCAAAAACCGTATATTTCGCTCCTTCCCCGTTCAAATAGACTCAAATATTCGGGAAATGATTAGCAGAGATCAGAGAAAGTGGAACTGCTTAAAAAAATCGGATCTGAAGTTTGGTTGTGTGGGAGATTTTGGGGAGTGATGTTCTGGTTACCGACTGGTGTTATTTGAGATTGAATTTCATAGTGTAATTTGGGAACGATAAGCTTTTGGATTTTGTTTCGAATGGTACATCATGGTAAACTTTATCGAAAGTCGTGACTTTTCATAGGTCGACGCGCCCGGGTGTCCAGTTTCTAAAACTAAAAAGTGCAGATCGCTATCACCTTTCGCTGTCGAGTTATTCGGCTCGTAATCACTCGCCTTCTATTTTGAAATGGATAGTAGTAAGTGGATGTGTGATCGCCACCGAATTATTTCGATGATATCTAACATACTATACACTACACTAACCTTTCACCAATCTCTGCCTTGATATTTCTGTCAGAGCTGATCACCTGCATTTTAAACTGACTGAAAGCTATAGGCAGGTTGGAGATGAATGAATAATTTTTCCACTGGCGGTCGGCAGATAAAGAAGAATGTTTTCCTGCCTGCACTCCCTGCAGGGGAAAAGATTTTACCTGCATTCACTGTAGAGAAAGACATTTGAGCGTGGAGGACAAAAAGAGAGAGGAGACCAAGAGAAATGTTGATCACACTAAAGATCAGAATGATCTCTTAACGAAAAGAAACTAACTAACAGGTTTTTTTGTATGTTTACTAGACATTGAAGAGAAATGTTTTATCTGTAATCGCTTATATCATTTGCCATGTCATTTTCCTGTGATATAATGGCCTAGACCACATCTATGTAAAATGACTATTGTTATTGCTCTTTCTCAAATGAATAAAGTTTAAACTAAACTAAACGAAAAATACAGAATAAAGAAAAACAATGAATTTCGCTCTTATTAGGCTTTGTGCACATAAGACGTATATATACAGTTCCTTTCTATTTTATCCTATTTTTATATAGTATATATATTGCAGTGTGTAGTGACGCCACTCCTTTTTCGTGGGTCTTTTACTTCGTTCTTTTCTCTTCATATCCAGGTTTCTTTAACGGCCTCCATTCGACCATTTTATTCCTGACTAACAATTTTTTTGAAGTCATACTACTTCTACATCATATTTAACAGGAAAAGATTGATGGATTATTACGTAATATGTAGAATATTTCAACATAGTAAAATAAATATCGCAACATATTTTATACCAACAACAGTTTTCGACAACAAATCATTTAAACAACAATAGTAACAACCATATAAGTGCATAATGCTGAATTCGCACACTTTATAGTTAATATGAATATGTTCATCGATGTTGAACAGGCAACATCTGTTTTTATACTGCTGAAACCATAACTATTCATTAATTGTCCACATCAGGTTGTAAACATTGATGTTTTTGTTATTAATTCTTTTTTTTATCACAATGTAATTTAGATAATTGAATATAAAGATCAATTATGAAAAATCGATATTTAAATCCAATATTAATACTATCCTTACAAATTGCTTTGTTTATTAAACGAAACAGAAAACAGTTTACTGTATACCATTTGATAGTGTCATCCTTTGTATAGGGTCTGTTGAGACTTCTCAATTATGTTTAGTTGATTTTTATTATCACTATATTGTCTGCGATATTCGTTTAACATTTCATTTTTTTGCATTATTGTTATATTTCATTTGAATAATAGCATCTAATAAATTCGATACCACATTATTTGAATAGCGATCTGCTATTTGAGAAATACCAGAAGTCATAGAGAAAATAAAGTGTCCGAATACTTATTTCGTTCCAATAATCGACTCCGTGTTAACAAGATCCGTTATAGACTCATGTATGGTAGTTAAAATTTTTTTAAGTAGAGAGAAATATAGAGAAGACTTTGCTCTATGGTGTTTGAGGGCAACGACTTATCAAAAACTTGATTATAATTGCAGCTGTTTTAACCCTTTACCATCGGAAGGTATTTTTTTGAAGATCCATGAAAGGCGACTACTGAACTGGAGCTCTTGAGTGCTCACTATGTCCATTCGATACTTAAAATAAAATGAAGTTGCCCAGATGACAGAATACAGAATGTCCACAGGGGTGGACATCAGGGGGAGCGACATGAAAAGTACCGATTTTTTCGTTTTACATTTTTTGTAAGCTGCCAGTAATTCAATGTTTCATCACTTTTATTTTTCGCTTAAAGGCCAATCGTTAGATGCAGCTTTATCTGGTGATCATGAATCTGACCCGAGGCTTCTTAATTGAGATCATCTTTTATAATTAAAGAAATAAAGCTGATCTCAGTTTGGAAATGGCATATTCTATCAATTTTGAAAAATGATCTCAGTTTGGAAAAT